CTCGCGGCAGTGCTACGGGCCTGGCCTATCAGAGACACTTTGTAAAGGGCCTGGAAGAGCCTCCCGGGGTGATCCTATCAGTCAGACACACTGTCAGCAGACACACTCAGTTAGTCAGCATTGAGTCAGAAATGTGGCCCAGCCAAGCCACACGCCACCGTTGGCTGCTCCGCTGGGCCGCTGCTGTGGGTATCAAGCTCCCCCGCCTGCCAATCAAAGCTCCAGCAAGGATGCTGACCTTTGTTCCCCTGCTCAAATGAATGCTCTTCAACAGGTGATCCGGCCGACTCCCTTGCCTCGGCGCGCTCAAGTTTAAATATAGCAGACTTTTCTTATGTGCCTTTCGCATTAGCCTGTTACAGCAGCGCTGTGTGTTTGTGTCAGTAACCCTGTAGGATGGAGGCACATTGCTTCTATATTTTTAGACTTTATTCAGTACGTGTGTCAAACCTCCGACAATCGCCTCAATAATAATCACCTGTCCTAAAGTGGCTATTACTGTCTCCCACTCCTGTGATTTACATTAATACCTAGTGGTTAATGTCATGTTACTTTATTGGGAGTATGTGGAACATTAAATTCAAGGTGCTGCCTCTGCAGCTATACGCTGTGCGATTACGCTCCCTTATTTTTACTCTTACATTTTCATCCTCACAGATGACTATCAAAATAGCTTGATCTGAGGCCACCACAGGCTGCTTTTATCGCCGCTCGCAGAACGAGAAGGTCAATTTTCAAGGCATTTGGTTGGGGGAAATGTTTAAACCGTCTAGTTACTAAGAGAACCAAGAGGGCCTCGTTCTTCCCGCGGCTCTAATTGGGATCCATTTTCATTTTCATATGGTTTTAAATGTCAAGAACAGAGCACACGCAAAGTGTTTTGAAATTGCTCAGGAAGGCCTTGGTCCCTGGGTCACACAGGTTGAAAGCATATTGGTTTATTATGAAAAGAAGACGTGGTGTAAAAAGGCACTCTGCAGCTGAGTTTTACCACTGAAAAAGGAAAAAAAAAAAGATGATGTTCTGCTTCTGACCTCATCCTTGGTCTGCTGGGAACATAATGTCAAAAGTTGCCAGCCCCTTCTTCATTTGACAGAAACAAATCCTCTGAAAGGACTCCCCCTCCCAGCGTGGAGGCTGTACACTCTCTTCACGCCTGGGTTTCCTCTCACAGTCAGAGGATATACAAGGCAGGTTGACTGGAGACTCCTAGTTCCTGAATTTTATGAATGGAAATGTGCAATTTTCAATCTGTTTTCTACTTCTACTGCCACGAAGCGAGAATGCTAAACATTCTTGATGTGACAACATATAAAAATAACTAAATTTGTTCTGTCTGATATCACTGGTGTTTCTCACTTTTGTGACACAGGCATTTAAAGAAAGCTCACGCTCATCTCTCTTAAATCCACCCCCTCCCCCAGAAAGTATTGTGGATTGCATGCATTACATAAAGCCAAATACACTTTCATATCACCAGGAATTATACCATTAGCAACAGGGAACATTAATGGATGCTCTAGCACCATTTAGTCAGCATCCTGAAGACTAAGAATAGCTATCCTGTCACATGTAGGGTACCAGTTGAAGCTCACATGGTGTCATTATGCTATAGTGAACTAAACTGTTGAGTTAACATTTACTTCATAAGATAAACCCCTGTGAAGTTCTTAATACTACCAGTTCTCTTGCTGTGTGCCTGAGATGACCATATTACACTCTCAGTGATATCAGACGGAGCACGAGTAGAAGGCATGTTTGAAACAGAGGATTTAGAGCAGTAGAAGCCTTCGGCGCACAGGGACTACATGCTAACATCCTGAACTCCTGCTAATCGTTGCTATATATATTGTTCAGTGTGTGTGTGTGTGTGTATATATATATATATATATATATATATATATATATATATATATATATATATATAAATATATATATATATAGCCGCCACGTGCTTGTATGCACGTCTGTCGGGGCGGGTGGTGTCCTGGGGGATCTCCTCCCAGATCTGGACCAGGGCATCGCTGAGCTCCTGGACAGGCTGAGGTGCAACCTGGTGGTGTCGGATGAACTAAAACATCATGTCCCAGAGGGGCTCTGCTAGATTTAGGTCAGGAGAGCGTGAGGGCCAGCCAGCAGTATCAGTCCTAAAATAATGCAAGCATCCAAAATTAAACTAGGATGTTTGGAAATGACGTTTTCATAGGGGAGCTAATTATATGTGTGTGTGTGTGTGTGTGTGTGTGCATTTGTGCAACTTAAAAAACTAAAATAAGAAAAAGTAAAATATGTCCACTTAAATAAATGTGTGTATGTGTTGTCAAAATCAATCAAAGGAAATATGATCACTATAGCCAAGATCAAAAGAAGACAGAGAAACAAAGTATCAGTTGCACAATAAACACAAACTATGGAATCACTGTGTGAAAGCACAGGAGAAGCAAACCCACTGACTGTTGCATTTCCAGAGAAAATTATTTTAATGCAGGGCTAAATCTTACTTTTGTGCATTATACTCTGAAGGAGCCCTTAGCCTAGAAAACTGTTCTGCACCTGAAGCATGCAGGCTGCATGCGATGTTGAATTGCTGTTAGGTCAATAATTAAATTCCCCGGAGGCCTGATTTTGTATCTGGGGTTCAAATGCAATTTTTCTCCCCCTAACAGTGTATAATCCCTCGTCCGGGCAGGCCTGTATTTCTACCTTAAACATCCCTTTCATTCCTTCATTTAATAAATGACACCCAGAGGACGAAACGGGGACAAGTCCCCGCTGACACCTGTGAAATATAGACTGATAATGCTCCTGCCACTCGCTTAATGCCGCTCCCTTCCACCTCCTTTTGTCTGACAGGCCAGCCAGATGCATGTATCATAATGAGCGGATCTCGCCGCCGTCAATTAGGTGCATCTTAAGCATGTGACTGAAGAGATGAGGGATCTCTGCTGGCCTTTGGGAATGAGCGTCATTTCTCCTCCGAGCGCACGTAGCATCACAAGCAGAGCGTCTATTGCTTTGTCTTTTAGCAGCGCGGCGAATATGCGGTGATGGTCCCAGGGGCGGTGTGACGGAGAGGAGCGCGGTGTACCGGCGTCCGCGCGCAACCCCTCCCCCTCGTCCTTTTTTTTTTTTTACAGAGAAAGAACTCACTCATTGTTTGATTTAATTACTTGCTTTAGACTTCAGCAATTATAGCTGAGCAGCACATATGTTAATTATATCTGACCTCACATTTTTGCTGCTCTGTTAATTGTTCGCTTAGATGACATTCTGAGATGACTGTCATTGCTGCTGCATATCGGGCAATTTAAAGGGAAAAAAGACCTTGGATGGCTTTGTGACAGATTTTGGTCAGTGGGAAAGTTTACACTGCAACACTCATTCCAAGTGGAGGTGGAGGGGGGCGTCATGACTTGTCTGTACATCCATCAAACAGAGATTACGTGCACCTCCTCCCTGTATCTACGAGCCTAAAGATGCCGGGCCAGCGATTTTCTTTCCCCTTCCTTTTTTTAATGCAGAACTCACTTCCTGTTGTTTACGAGATGATGCATTTTGTTTTTCTCTTGCCATTATTACCCAGGAAACATCTAAACCCACTAATGTCCCAGTTCAGAGCTCATTTTGTCTCTTCTAATGCACATTCCCTTCCGGATGTCCTAGGCTGCAGAAATCCATTAAAAATAGCTCGCAAAGACAAACTGCAACCTGAACTAATACATCATGTTAAACGACACATGTACTGCAATTTTTGCGAGCACGGTTTTGCCACACGGCTTATTATCACATCTAATGAGGACGGTTTTCACTTTTGCCGTCGCTGCACGCTGTGGTTTAATTCCCCTGCCAGTGAGGAGGCAGAACAGAAGTTAAGGTAGCGTGGAAGGCAGATACACGTAGCCAGCTCTTCAGACTCATTTTGTCTGGCAATATCGCTGCGGCGGTGTGACCGCGGCCTTACGAAGCAGTGGCAGGAGAAATGAAAAATGCGCGTGCTGTTCGCCATGATTGTATTTGTTAATGTAGCCGTATTGTCTCTGCGAGCCGTTTCTAATGGACTGTGCTTTTGTTTGTCACCTTAAGTGAGCGGTGATGCCTCTTGCTTCACTTCACCACACTGGAGTTGGTTTAGGGAAAACAGGTGTTTTATTTAGGGAGGAAATGACACGTTACACTTGCTGTATTTCAGTCACATCTAGTCCAAGGTAGGTTGGCGAATGATAGGTTTAAAAAAATGCACTTAAACTTGAATGTGGTGTTCACGCAGAGTCTGTCAAAACCTATCCAAAGCTTCCTGACACTGCACGTTGACTCTGGATGCTAAAGAAAATGTTATGAGAGACACAAATTATGATAGACAATTTTAAAGAAAACCTGCCATTTGTGTTTTCTCAATGCTTCCCTGCCATGAAACGCGCTCAAATTGCTTTACTTGCTTTAATATACAGCTACGATTTAACCGTGTGCTCGCCGAGCAGCTCTGCTACGCGGGAAAGTCAGAACCGGCGGCCTGGCTCGTATAAAACGCACTAAGGCCGTGTAAATATTGTCGTATATTGTATATACTCCAGCGGGCTCGTGTTATAATTATAATTGTCATTCCAATTCACGCGTTTGACAGTCAACTGATGCACGGTAAATAGCATCACGTGTTGGTGAGTTCCAGCGCGCGTCTGCTCGTCCTCTTTGTTGATTCTGTTTGCATTCGGCAGATGCTGTTTTCCTTTCCACACTCACATCTCCTGAGATATTAAATCATTTAGAGTTTTTCTTGACTGATGCACATGTAACGTGGGCACAGATGATTTGTCCTCTTTGTGTTGGAAAAGTCACACAAGTGCTGGTTTCCCGGCTTCTTTTATAGCTGACTTTCCTTTATAGCTCGCTCGCACTCAACCTAATATGACTCACCACTGCGAGCAGCGTTTGTAGTTTTGATTTACTCCAAAGACCTTTTTTTTTTCTTCTAATAGACGGGTTTTTTAAAAAATTTCTTGCTAATGTCGTGTCGGTGTGTACGCAGGCTCGCCTGTTTTGGTCGAGATTCTGAGTTGATGGCAGCGCACATTCATTAAGCGCAGTGGCTCAGGCTTCTTCCCACCAGGATTCACAGACAGCTGTCAGTTCAAGGAAGATCTCCTGCACTGATTGTGCATCAACATTCGCTCCGACTTCCCTCTCACAGCTCCTTACTTCAACATTTACATACCCATCAACTAGGTGACTGTCAGGGCACATTATGCATGTCTCAGAATATGCAGGTTAATGTGTTTATGCCATTATAGCTTATTAAAGCTTTGTTAAAGTAGGATTTTTTTTTAAATATGGGACACTTAATATTATATGAGAGTTTATGGTGGTAATGATAGAAACATTGCCCCTGCATACATGCTGCAAACGCAGCACCTTCATCATCCCACTGGGGTCATTTCTGTGTCTATTGTTGTCTCTCGTTTTAGCGCCGGCTCTCTCTCTTAAGTTTCTCTGCTCTACAAACACCTGAAAGAAACACGAGGGCATTTATTTTTCTTTTACCGGCTATAATTGCTTAGTTTGCCTGCTCTTTGGCGTTGGATAGGTGGTATGCGCTGGGTTTATCAGTTTGTTTGCTGAAAACAGTTGCCTGCTTCAGCATCCATAGCCGATGTTATCAGCCCATTGAATGGCTGTTATCGCTTGTTATCACTCCCATACATATCACCAATAGGCGCCCTGCTCTTCTTAGCAGCCGGCTCAGTAGACTGTTATCATCAATTGTGATCGGTGATAAACAGAGGAACCCAGATTAAGAGCAGAGGCATCTAGAGGTCATGTGAGGAAGTGCATGTAAAGTCTCTAGTGGGAAATATGGATATCAATCAGAACAGTGATCTTTTACTAACCCTAACCAAGTAGTATTGTATTAGTTGTGAGATAAATGCCTGTTTTAGAGCTGAGGATGAATGGCTCCAGGTCTCTGCAACATAATTAGCCCATGGTAATGGGTAAATATTCCTTTCAAAATAAGACACACAACTACAACACGGGAAAAGACCCAGGGAAACAGAGTTAAACATAAATTTCACAGCCGAGCCTCAACTCTCGCAGCCCGGTACTGGTCCATGGCCGGGGGGTTTGAGACCGCTGGTCTGGAGGAGGACTCATTGGAAGAGTCGTGAAGTTTATCACTGGAAACAACAGAACTTTGATTCATAAACAGTGTTAAGCAGATGTGGATAACACATTAAACATTGTCTTTTATTGGTTTTTCAGCGGTTTTACACTCAGATGTGACAGTAATTTGGTGCCTTTCTAGAATTCATGTAATGCTAAGCAAAAATGACTTTATGGATTTTTCTTGATTTATCAGAAATGGAAAGAATAATTTGTGACAGTAAGTCTTGCAGGCCTGTTTTTGCTTTCTGTGTGAGTGTCTGTAATATTGATTAGCAGATGTTTGGGGAAAAATAAGATACTCACAAGAAATTTTAACCATATGTTCCTTTTATTGTGTTTATTATATTTTATCTTGCTCTTCCTGTTCACTGCCGCAGTAAGGAGTTGTTGTTTTTTTATTCATTGGTATTCAGACAGGCTGGCCCAGGGTGGCAATCTGTTAAAGAACGTGGAGGGGGGTGTCACCTCTCAGTTAAGGCAGCGCTGGCATCCTCGAGGCCTGGTGTGCTTGGACAGTCGGCCTCAGAGTTAGCAAGTGTGACTGTGGAGGAATGGATGCTAAATAACAGAGCCCGCAGCGCTGCCCTCCCGCCTGGCTGGCTAGCAGGCGTGACGCGACAGGGCTGAGGCCAGAGTCAGCTACAATCCATTACTTTTACCTGAGGAAGAGGAGAGGCAGAGCGAGAGCGAGAGAGATTGAGTTAAGGGCCGGAGCACCTTTCAGCACTCTCTTCTGCATGCTAATTCCACTAGCGCTTCAAAGGGGATCAAAATCTGCTGGCTGGGAAACGTGGCCTCTCAACTGACTAAAGGAAGGCGAAATCCCCTTTTCTGCTCGATGCCTCTCTAGCAGCCAGTTTGCACACATATGCATAATAACATACAGCTGCACGGTGGCTAAACGAAGTATTTTAAAGTACAAGCTTCGTATCCTTGAGCGTTACGTCAGCTGGCTCATAAATTTCAAAAGGTATTGAGCTTGCTTATATAACTATATACACCTCTATATGTCTCCTATGGTTGAAGGGCAGCTCTTTCACAGGCTGAAGGGCGTTTCTAACCAGCTGAAATTGACAGAAGTCAACATTTTAGTTTTAAATTAAAAATTCAGGTTTTTTTCCCCCCTTCCAAATTCATCACTCGCTCAGGGATGTCACACACATCCATCCCAACACAAATCACTGGCATCTCCTAAAATTTCCCATGCACACCGGTTGGTGAACGCGATGAGCATTTGTGCAAAGAGCGTGAAGCAGAGGGTGATTTTTTTTTTTTTGAGGCGCTGCTTAAAGCTATCACTATCGGAGTGGAAAGTACACATGACAACTGGTTTGCAGGTTCCAAATGAGAAACCACCACAAACAGCGTGGGTGTGGGCGGCAGGAGAGAGAGAGGAGAGGAGAGGGGAAGGCAGGGGAGGGGGTAAAAATGCAGCGTGGATTGGCACCCGGTGACAGTGATAAATTTCACCAATCGTCCAGTGTGAAGATCTGTCTAATCTTTGCGGTGGCTCACAGCGGGGTAGGACCCCATCACTCTCCCATTATTTGACAACAAAACATCCGCGGAGAGCGGCGAGCCAGGTTCAGTTAGCTACAATACACTCCCTGCATACACAAATCCCCGGCGATGGGGATTATAAAGTGGCTCTGTAGCCGGCCGTTAAAGGGGCAGGCCATTAAAATGCAGCCACAACCACCTATCCACGCTCTCACCGTGGAGTGGCTGAGAGAGAACAAAACAAAGCCGTCTGTCAATAGCCTTTAATTTTGAATAGAGAGCAAATAAAATTCAATGCCTATAATGGCCTTCATTTTCCTGCAGACTCTTGAAATTGATTCGATGGCTTAATTTGGCAGCGGCAGGTGGGATGCCATTGGCAAACGTATACGGCTGCATGCGGTTCACCCCAGATGACTCAATAAACAGCGTTTGCAGCAGTTTAGCAACAAAACATTTTTCCGAGGCCGTGCATCGCGGTCCATATGCATCTATCACAGCCATGTGGTGTTCTGTTGGCAGTTACAAGATCCGCGTTTACACCCAAAATGTTATTTTGATTTCACTGACACAGAGATAATGTTTCATAACACACAGTCAGTCACGAATTAGCCCATCTGTCTGTTTGAGCTTCCCGGTGCTGATGGAGTCTCTCTGTGTTTGTGTTTGTGTGTGTTTGACCACAGTGGCTCAGCCCTCTCCCCACCAGGATTCACTGACGGCTGTCAGCTCATTGAGTGACTCCTCCACAGATTGTATTTGAGCCAAAATCCTGATCCCTCGTCTCGCTGCTCCTCTCGTGCTTTGCTTTCTCACTCCTCCCCGGCTTGTCGACATGCATATGCTGACACACTCGCACGTGTATATACAAGCGCTCGCACACGCTCGGGATGAAATGTTCTCTTACAGCTTGCGGTATCAACAGGAGATTCTGGCGACAGTGTGAAACTGAATCTGAAAGTGCGTCTCGTGTGTGCGTGTCACCCGAATGAAACAATATGGCCTCTAAATGTAATTTTAAGCCTTGCATCCACACAGGCGTGCGAGCTATATCGGGCCGTGGCTGGCGTAGCGCGCACGCAGACACGCCACCGTTGTTGCCAGTGCAATGCTAGTGTTACGGGGTGGTATCGGAGATTTTGTCACGCTGAACAGTAGTAGCATCCCTATTGTGGGAAAGTTCCCAACTTCTTTATTGCAATATGCTTGATATTTTGAGATATGCCGCCAGCATTTAAAATAGCTTCAAGGCTCTGGGACGGCAGGTTATTTGAAGAAACCTGGGGAGCACGCTGCAGTCCTTGTGTGGATTTAGACGGTCGCGGTTGCTTGTGTCTCTTCATGTAATCCCAGACGGACTCGCCGATGTTGAGATCAGGGCTCTGTGGGGGCCATACCATCTGTTGCAGGACTCTTTCTTCTTCTTGTGGCTGAAGATGGTTCCTTAACACTGGCTGTGTTTGTTGGCTCGTTGTCGTGCTGCGGGATGGATTTTGGAAGAGATTAGGCACCTCGGTGATGCTACCGTGTGATGATGATAAACCAAACATCTAAAGTGTGCCACACTGTGCCGTGCATCACAGTGCAATTAAATTTAGAAACGATTTCATGTCGATCACCTCTTTCTGACGTATATAAGCACACATTTTACTACTACGTTGCCTCAGTGGGGATCAGATCACTTAATACACCCATGATTTTACAGGTTGTCACAGCTGAAGCAAGTATGAAGCAGGATTTAGCACCAAAGCAAAAAGTTTTTCTAGACAAGGCTGGATATTTCTGACCCTTCACGAAGGGAAGATGTGACAAAAGCTCTCCTGCGATCTGAAGGCTTGAGCTTGCATTGTGCGCTATATGCTGTCAAATGATATTTTCTTTAATAAAACATTTCTAAAAGCAAGAGCAACAAATTAGCTTTAGCTTTGTGTCCTCCAGTTGTGTCGAAATAATGTCCTCTTCAGTGCTTTTCACCTTTACTCTGCAAGCCCCGTAGCCGCAGTCTTGTGAACAAAGCTGCGCGTTCATCCCTCCGTCTCATCAGACTCCTTCTCTCCATCCTCTGCTTTCTCCTCATCAAAGAACAGGCGGAAAGCCTCTGCGCCCGAAGACTCGCATTGCTGAGCAATTTTGATCATGGTATAAATTTTAAATCTGAATCCAACAGGAAAAACGAGTTCAGTTCTGAATAAAGAATCAAAGCGTTTTGGATGTTTTTCATAGCCTCCTCCTTGTCAAACACTTCTTTTATTGTCTTTTCTCGCACGTTCTCTCTCTCCCTCCTTCTACCTAAACCTCACCCGTCACCCCCACGCAGCGTTTCGTAAACAAGTACAATAAAACGACGCACCAGATTGAGAACGGCTATGATTTACATGTCTGATTACAGTGTAATTTCGCACTTATTTGCATGGGCCTTCTCAACGTCTTTGCCGAGCTGGATCGCTCTGCAGCCCGGGCCATTTAAATGAGAACGAGCAAGATGGAGTGAGAGGGGGGAGGGCAGAAGAGAGACAGAGAGGCAGACAAAGTTCAAGTTAAAGTTCAAGGTCATTTATCTCCATGGCCGTTTATCACACGCGAGTCTCAAAGGACTTTAAAGAGACAGGAACAGAAAAAGAAAAGAGGCAGGAACAAAAGAAAAAAATCCAATTACATCCAACTAATCAGCAACCAGTCACAAAACAAAATGAAACAGTGTGTTGAAAGGACGTGGCTGTGTACCAAACCTTCTAATCAGCCCGAGAAAAAGACAGACCGGTGCTTTTTTTCTTTTCTTTTTTAAAACTCAAAAAAGTGCTTCAATAAAAAAGCTTTGTGCTTCTCTTCAGGGGCAGTTTACTCCATTAATACACAGTAAATGATTCTTCGCCCACCTTCAGCTGTGAGTTTACACCTAGAGTCGTTGTTTACTAGGTGGAGATTTATGCTTTTCTATATTTAAACACTCGCATAAAAATAATCACTTATTACCTGAAGATTAGTTGTTGCTAAATATTAACACCCACTAACGACACCGAACATCCAGCTGAAGCAACATCTGCAACTCTCAGCGAAGTATGTAATATCTGCATCGATCCGCTGTGCAAATTAAGGTTAATTAAAACAGGAGCATTTTTTTATAGCTTTCATTTTTCTTTTTTGTTTGGAAATAACAAATAACAAGTTTGTTTCCAGCGTTACTACCTTATTATTATTCTTTCTTCCTCCAAACTGGATTTTTTTAAATAAACCAACAAACAATGTTAAATCACTGGGTGAGGTTACCAGAATAGTAACCTGAGCCTGGCAGTGGTCAGCTGTGAACGTCACAATTTCAAAATCAGTGTTTTCTCCAAATCCAGGAACCTCTGTAATGGCCCTTTGTAGAGACTGTAAAGTGAGGGTGTGTGGGTGTGGCTGAGGATGGACTGGGAGTGCAGAACATCTTATTACGAACAGCCTTTTGTCTTAACTCAAGCAGGTCAAAACTTGGAGCTCAGCAGCAATCCTAGCAGATCAGTTTTAAACGGGTCTCACTCTCATACAACGTCTAATTGGCTAGTTCACGTAGGGCCGGCTGTTTAAGCTCCCTCACGGTTGTTGCTTAGCTGCAAGCCGCTTTGCAACCCCACCTACTCCTTGCATTACGGTTCTGACTTAATCAGTTTCACATGCGTTGTCACTGACGCCTGCTCTGCTCTCTGTGTGCATACAGAGACTGCATTAGGCGAGGAGGTCCCTGAACAGAGCCTTGCTGCCAAATGCAAAATATTGCAGACAGAAATATGCTTTGACAGCAGTCGTTTTTATTCTAGTTTATTTCCAATCCCTCAAAATATTGTGGATTCAGCATCATGCTAATTAAACTATCATTTAGTAAGAATATATGAATGTATGCAAAATATTTCAAAGAACTAGCAAACAATGATAAATTAGCTGTACCCTGGATATGATAAACCACCACCTTTGAGACCTTTTATCTCCAGATGAAGATCCACTGTCTGTTAATAACTGATCTTTGGTACTGGAAGCTCTCTGGTTTCTAATTTTGGTGCATTTGTAGGAGCGTTTAGGCTTTGTGTGCAGGCTTTCATCATTTGCTTTATATTTCTTTTTCTGCTTTTAAAGTAGGACTGTAGAGAGTGACCAGCGTGGAGCAAGAAGAGTTGATCTGTTTATCAGCTAGTTAAATCAGCGGATGATGGTTAATGTGTTCCCAGATTGTGTAAACTGAAACTAGCTGGAGGTTAAAAAGATTTTGGGAAGGACCGGTCAGACAGTCTTCAAAAAGTAAGCAGAACAGTGCGTGTAACCTACGATTATTAGGATGCACGTATGGACTGGGTTTTGTGTGCGCGGTTCTGATGTTCAAGGCTGGATTTGTGTTGCCGCCATTAACAGTTAAATGTGTGTCACAGGTTCCGACTGTAAAAATGCTCTAAAGCAGTCCAGCTCTGCTCTATAAAGTGCAGTATTTTATGTTTCTCTACAGATGCCATTTATAGTTTTGTCTGAGAATTTCATCAGTGCTTTTTATGAGAGGTTGGCTGTATTTGACACTGCTTTTATGAGGCCAGTTACGTTTTATGTGGAGCCTTCAGTGGAAATGTTGATGCGGTATGATTGCTGGATTATGAAGTTTATAGGGAACAGTGGATGTGTCCAAAACACACAGCTTCCGTTTAGCTAAAAGAGAATGACGTTTTTCTGGGGTTGTAATTTAAGCTTTCTCTTTCATGCATATCTTATCTAATTGCATTAGGATTAAACTCCCAGTGTGCTGAATAGACAGATATGTTGGTTTTACTTGCATTATTGTGTGATTTTAGCACTCTTGTATTGTTGGTCCTTTTCTGGGGGGTCTTCTGCAAAGTTTTTATTTCACCAATTACCCCTACTCTTTCATTTACTGCAATAAGCCATTAATTTCCACTTGTTGTCATTAGTTAAACCACTTAAAAAAAAGAATTATGGCAAATTCCATGCAAATAGTGATTAATTATAGCTGGATTTAGTCTATTTGTCCTCATGGAAGCCGTACAGGGCGGCTTGCTGGGTGATTCATTTCTCCAGGTCCCAGAGATGCGCAGCACCTCTGCCTTTTCATCACCCTGTTTAGTTCTCATTGTTTCCTTGACTTTCAGGCGTCGTGTTAATGCACACTGCGACCACTGCAGACTCTGGAATATATCATTGTCTGATTACGTTCTATAAATGGATATGTGGCTATTTGCCTAGAGGAAGTGTCACATTGGTATTATGTGTGAAAAGCTACGTTTTCAGCGCAGGTACAGCTGCAGCAGGTTGTCAGAATGTCCGTTTGCTCTGCAGCAGCTTTCTGTTCCGACGGGGAAAAACTGCTGAGGGAATTATTGGCCGTCAAGGGGAAGCTCTATTAGAATATCTGTGATGGATCCCAGAGCGAGAGTTGATGTTGAGGCTTTTTTTTTCCAAGTCATTTTTTTTAGGTACCTTATGCATAAGTACTGCAATTCAGACTACTACTTAAGCCCTTTGCAGAGGTGCTTAAGTCTTCTCTCACGCACAGCTTCCTCCCTGCTCGTTTCTGACATTGAACTGAAGTGCAAAGCACTGCTGCTCCCAGCAAGATGCTCAAAATGGTCATTTGCATTACGTAAAGGTTCCAGTGAAGTCCAATACAGTCGTCCTGACACCTTACCTCGAGGAGCTGTAGGTTATTCAGTTGGTTTTAGTTACTTTTATTCAGTAAATCTCACGGACGTCTGTGAGGACAGAGTGCACCATGGCAATGACAACAATCTAATCATCTGACAAAACCGGGTATTTAAAATGCATAAAATCACAAATAATACAGAATCTAAAGACCGCAGACAGGCTATCTCTAACTTCAAGTTGTAGTATTGATATTTTTTATATAAGTAAAATGATTAAAAAGGATTTTATTTATATAGGCAACTTTTAAAACAAAGCTAAATTAAACCTTAATACAAAAAAATGGCAATTAAATATAAACTTCATGAAAACCCCTAGTAATGTATATTTAAATTTAAATGCAGAAGACGAGCACTCTCAGGAATAAATAAGTAAATGTGCATTTACGAATAGTGTGGCTTGGCTGATCTCCCCCAGCAAATTAGTCATATTTATATCAAACAATATACATAGAAATAAAGCTTGCTCACTCCTGCTTTTCAGTGTAAATCGGGGAATCTTCATGAGGCTCATGTGGGAATAACACTGATTGATGTAGTCTGTGGCCAGAGTCCCAGAAATAGCCTTCTGTTTCTGTTTGTTGGGACTAACTGTGTTGGAAAATTTGGGCAGGTACCTTGATGCAGAAATAACCTTTTAGAAGTTGAATATTAATAATGATAAAATGTGCATAGATTTATTTTCCAGACAGCAACAAGCTTTCGACAAGGATATTTCTCTCTTTTTAATCTTCCTCCCCTGAGTTACCTTTTTGGCTTTTTGACATGCACACCAGGGGCAGGACAGTGATCAGCAGGAGGGTCCTGGGTTTGAATCTGGTGGTCAGCCTGGACCTTTCAGTGAGTTTGCATGTTTCCCTGCTCCTGCATGGGTTTTTCCCGGGTACTCCAGCTTCCTCCCATAATCCTAAAGCTTGCATTAGTGATTCTAAATGTGAATAGTTGTCTCTCTGAATAGAAATAGTGGTCCTGTGATTGACTTGCAGCCGGTCCAGAGCGAAGAAAAAGGATGCATGGATGAATATCTAAGTCATTATAAGATAGTGTGCCACAGTAATCGAATTACTTGTACTATTACTTGTAAACGGTTGTGTGAAAGATAAAGTTTTCTCAGTCCTGTGAAAAACGAAGCAGACCATACGATTCAGTATCTTTTGGAATCAGCTTTAGTAGCAATAACTTGAAGTCATCATCTCATATTGATCTCTTGTTTTGCTGCTGTGCTCAGGATCAGGATCCTGTTTCATGACCCAGTTTGCGCCAAGCTTCAGCTGCTGGACAGAAGCTCTTATTTGACTTTAGAATACTTTGGTATACAGGCGAGTTCAGCCCGAATCATCAGCCCTCCACCACCGTGCAACGCAGTCGGCATGAGGTGTTGTTTTTGGTTTCGTGTCCAAGCGTGGTGCTGCGCGTTGTGGACAAACGTCTCTGCTTCGCTCTCTTTTTTTGCTCTCTCTACAAAGGACATTGTTCTAGAAGTCCTGCAGCTTGTTTGTATGTAACTTTGCAAGCTGTGCTGCCGTGTTATTTTTAGAGAGAAGAGGCTTTCTCCTGGCAAGCCGTACTTGTTCAGTCTTTTTCTAATCGTACTGAACTCCATGAACTTCAACGTTTAACATACTTAGTGAGGCCTGTAGAGTTGGAGAAGCAGCCTACGTTACTTTAGGGTCAGTTTGCTGGGACGTCCACTCCTGAGAAGATTGAGGCATTTTGTTGACACACCTGAATGCTCCAGAGCTGCTCACACACTGCTGACGATTAATCAATGAATCAAGTACTACTGTACTGACACTCTTGGCGTCTATGGAAGCAGTAATGGTGTTTTGCACAGGACTGCATAAAGAGTTGTCATAAGACTATAGATGCAGTCTAACTACTGTTCTAATAATTGTATGTGCAACTTGCACGCTTTAAAAAACTCCAGTTTTGAATCTGTGTGTAGAGAGTCACACATTGAAAAGTAGCAAATTGATTAGATTGATCAATAGCAAAGCTTAGGAGATAATTAAAGGATGGAGGACATGATATTAATAATATTGCATTTTCCACTCGATGAGAAATAAATAAATAAAAATAGCTAACTAATGAGCTGCCACATGCAGATGCACTGGTCTGTTTCATCAGGCCAACTGCTCAAACATTTTTTAATTGGGAAAAAAAATATTTGATATTAAAAGAAAGAACACTTTGCTGTGGTAACGTACCGTATCACAGAAAAGACTGAGGTATGCATTGCTGTGACGAACGATACCGAATACTCATTCAGTATTAATGGAGTGCATTCGAAATGCAGAAATGCAACAATGCATAACACAGACGCATTAAGAATAAATGCTGGATACACTCGTATAGTCGAAAAATGCGCTCTGGTTTTAATCATTTCCTTTGGGCCCTCCGTAACGGACATCTTTGCCGTGGTTAGTGCTTGAGCGAGGCGCAGCATCAGAGTCCTGCACTCGATATGAAGATGGAGCGTTTTGTAATTTTAGTTATCAGTGACCAGAGGGAGTTGAACAAACCCCCTTGGACACTTTTAAAGATCTTGTTGTGCTTGCTGAATCACCAGCAGGTCTAACCTGCTGTACTGCTGCTCCAACGCCTCTCCACCACTTACTGTACTGTACCTCGGTCCAGTCTGCACCTAAACCTCCACACTTCCACCCCCTCCTCGCTCTGTACTGTACTCTTTAGCGCTCGTTCTTTGTCTTCCTCTCTCCACGTGCCTTCCTCCCTCCTCCTCACCGCGGTGGGGCTCTGCCAGGGGCTTGTGATCGGATTTAGCGCCACGTTCTCACTCTGTCTCCTAGAGATGAGTGACAGATGGTGGCCATTAGTGTATATTCCATGCATCTGTTGCAAGGCGCTAATTTATCTCATTAGGAGAATGTGTGGAGAGGGAGGAGGAGTGTGTAGGAGCAGGATGGAGCATTTTATTATGAGTGTAAAACACAAGGAACCATGCACTGAGCTAGATTGTGCAGACAGAAGAAGGGGGCGGGGCATCAGAGGCACGAGGTGGTGATGCGGAGTCGTTTGTGCGTGTGTAGGTGTGAGTGTTTTTGTGCTTTTTATGGGTTAATCTGTGGGGCGAATCAGGCAAACATGCCCACATATGTGCACCGCACCTCTGCACACGTCTGCACAACAAGAAAGGCGCGAGGTTCATATGCTCGGGCCTAATTAATGCTCCTCGGTGCTAATATGCTCGTCGTCGGCCTCGGCGTGTGTTTGCTGGGGGATGGGTCGACACAGTCTTGGGTGCAGTCGTTTAGTACGCTGACACATGCTGCTACTCTGCAGTGTGGCACAGGCTTTACTCCATTTTTTGGCCATTAATTCATACTAATAAATGCTAACCGACAGGAGCAGCTGTAATACTGACGCCACACCAGTTTAACCAAGAAAACACACTTTATCAACTACAACTGGCTTTGCTGTGCATATGAGTTAATGTCGGGTAACTCGGCTTGAAGATGAAGCACAGACTCATTTCAACAAACCATCATACCTGTTGTGTTACCTGCTGAATCTGAGGAAACACTTGGGCTGGATGCATATCACTGTCTTTGAAGTTTGCACGCTGCACGCTGCTTGCCCTGAAACCAAAAAGCGAGAGCTAAAAGATCCTAAAACGCTCCATAAAGTCCATGAGAAGTGCAGCGTCAGGTGATAAATTGCTGAGGATTCATCGCTAAAAGCAGCCCCTTAAATATTCTACACAGTCATTTGATTTATTTTTACTATACGAACATTGATTAGTGTATCTTTTTTTTCCTTTTTAAAGTGTTCCCTAATGAGTTTCTTGCTAATGTTGATAAATTTGTGATGCGCTTTTCCAGAGAAACCCTGCGAATCACTCACTGCAGTGCTGTGTCATATTTTCTCTCTAGATGTTTTTCTCGGCGTTGGTGGATACTCACCGACTATCAAGTCAAATGCAACATTTCCCGTTCATCACAGCGTGAGCTGCCTTAAAGCCTCCATCTGGTCATAGGTGTTTTTTCATTAGGAGGCAAACTGTTTACATACGATGTGATTGAACCGGAGCAGCTGCGTGTCATGGCAAAAGCGATCAGTCGTGCATTGGACTTCCTCGGTGGCTATTTTATCTCTGTGGCCCGTGTTTGATCAGCTGCCTGAAGACGGAAATCTATCATCTGTTCCCTGCAGTAGTTGCACGCCTGCTCATACTTGAAACAAAGGCGGGTAGTTGGAATAAGAATTTCCAGTTTTGCAAAGTGGATAAGCAACAGGAAAAAGAGAGCAGTCGTGGTTAACCGTCGCCCACGTCAGCCGAGAGTCCGCTTTAACCCGCTGAGCGGTCAGTAAATTCCAAAAATTCAAATCCCTGCGTGACTCCGACTTGAAATGAAAGAGATCACAGCTCGGAGATTCTTTTGAACTCCTGCATTAAAAATTAATACCATTCATTAAAGCTCAGAATAATTACATTGTTTTTTTTATTAGAGAAAGCTGAGGGGTTTGATAACAGTTGTGGTCTGAATTAAAGAAATAAAAGCACTAACAATACCACCAGTGTGATTTAGAGCCTTTCAGTCATTGTGCCCATGGTGTCATTTGTTTGCAGTAATTACACCTACAGTCGGTAGCCTAATTACTTCAACAATAACCCCCCGATAATTAGAAAAGTAAAAATATCCCCCGCCACAGCTGGACTAAGCAAAAGTGGCACATCATCCCTTCCTCTTGTTAACAAAAGTGCATTAGAGAGGCCTGTGCTCTGTTCACAAACTCCTCTAATGCCTCTGAAAGATTGTTTCAGCCCATATTCATGAATAAAGAGAGACTTTAAGGAGATTTGGCATCAGGGCTCTTATTGACCCGTCTTCTGTGTACGGTTTTGCAGGGCTATCTGGGAGCCCAGGGGAAGGATTTAGCCTGCCCAGGAAAAATCTAATATTTCTCCACATTAAAGTCAAATAAAAGCCACCTAGCAGCCCATGTGTGTATGTGGCGGTGAGATGATACAGTGGTGACCTACAGCCATTCACCGGAGCTCGAGTTAAACACTCTGGTTCGGCCTCCTGCTATCTGCTCCGGGTGCCACAAGAGGTGACGCATTCTCATAAGCAGGCAGGAGGCCGCAGTGGGTGTTGATATGCTGTCGATTTATGTGTGCGCGTGCGCGAGCTTCACAAATGCTGCTAAGCGTACTGCCTGCGTGGAGGTGAGGCTTGGCGAGCTGTTCCTGTAGTTACGTGTTATATTTAGTATACAGCCTCCGAGTGTGGGGCGAGAAGACGCCGTGGCATTTTCCTCACGTTGATTGTTTTCATGCACAGAGTAAAGACGGCGCTCGTCGTTCTATGTGTGTTTTTCTGTTTTTCTAAATGGTTTGTGAGTCAGATTACATGCGTTTTGGTATTTTTTTAAGAAATTTTTTCCGTCTTTCTTGAAAGTCACATTTGTTGGATGTTTATTGAAAAATGGATGGAAGCTGAATTCAAATCCAAAACAAAGCCAATTGTTGGTTTTAAGAGTAAAACGAGCTTCTTTTCAACTTCTGTCCAGAGCGAGTCGACCTCTGCGTTCACTCTAAACTGTGCAAAAAAGGCATTTTTTAAAATTTCGTTTGCAAAATATTGCAGTTAAACCATCAAAGTGTGTTTCATCAACTAATTAAACGTTGCAAATAAATTAAAGTCGGACAGAATATTTAAAGTTTTAAGTTAAATACACTTAATATCCATCACTGCTCGTCCCAGAATGTGGAATTTGAAACATCAGATGTATTTAAGGAATACTTTTTATTGGCTGTCCATGTCGTAGACGCTGCCCAGTGACAGAAACACGACCTTAATTAACATTTAACTGAA